TATAGAAATTATCTGAGAGCAGGATCCCTGTCTTTACTTTCTCTGCAAATTCACGCAAGATGAGTGCTGCTCCTAAGCTTCCATTATCTAGCACCAGCAATATTTTTCTGCCTTTGTCCTCAGAAATAATTTCTATTCAAACTTTAAATGTTCACCTCTTTAATGTATTCTCTTTCAGACTACATCTAATGCACTGTTCTGAGATAATTTTAAGTAATAATGTATACAAAAAGTTCAAATAAAAGTGTTCCTGATAAGATTAGTGCCCTCACTGCCCTAGTTATGCATGTACAAAAATAACAAATACAATTTAGTGGCTGTAAAAAACTATTTCCCCTAAAAATAGTTATCTCTGCAGAATAATTTAAGGAGAAAGTGTTCTTAAAATGAAAATGCACTAATCTATTCAACAACCAGCATAATTATTTCAGAAACAAAAATGAAAACATGTACAAACTTGTAATAATATATAAAAATTAAACATTAACAAAATTTTAACTTATCACTAATAATCTGTTTCAGTGACATAACTTAAAAAAGCTATCAACCAAAAATGTTTATGTTTGCCACATCTTCCAAAACTTCAGCTAAAATTTACGTATTTACAGCAGGTATTTCAGAATCACAACAAAGGCCTGCACAATCACCCTAACTGTTATGTTTTCAGAGAGAGAGAGAGGTGTGTGTGTGTGTGTGTGTGTGTGTGCAGGAAGAGAGGAAGATTGGAAATAAGAGTCAGTGTTAATAAGGAATTTACCTCCAAAGGAGGAGGAGATGACAGGCAGGTAAACACGCTGGAAAAGGGTCAGTGATTTTATTATTATCTTTAAGAACTATAATCCAAAGTCTTCTTTTGTTATATAGTATTATAGTATTATAACTGTAAGAAAAAGAACCTTGCATCACATTAGTATAACAGTACTCAATATGTTAATCTTTATTTTCTCTCATCAAAATTTCTGTATCAGTTCAGATACAAATGGCAGACGTGGAACAGCTTTTTATCTTCAAAATGAATTTTTCTCTAGAGCTAGCTTCATTATGAAGGCCTTAAAATTCAAATTGTATACAGTCAGAATTGTTATTCTATCTTAAAATTAAACTTTTCCATTAAATCTTGAAGTAGCTTTACCTCTAAATATCTGGGACCATATGACAGTAATCATATGGTCAATATTAACATTATGACAAAACTCTTGTTTAAATTATTTTAGAAGTATAAAGTATAGATCTAGAATCATAGCATGTTTAAGAACTGGTATATTCTTTAATATCACAGATAAGTTTCAAAATAAGTTGTCTTCCTCTTAGTATTCAGTCACATTTTCAAATTACAAATATACATCTGGTCCCATATTAAAAAAGACACTCAAAAACTTAAAAGTTATAGGTAATACATGGAATGGTTTTACAATTTTAAATATCTGTGATATATAGGCTTTAAATTAAGCATAATAAAATTTGTTTTTATTTCTCTTTCTATAATCGCCAGTCTTTAAATTGTTCATGAGTAAAAATATGTTTTAAAAGGAAAAAAGATGAAGACAAAGGCTGTTGTTTTCTTAAGCAACCACTATTTTCTAACTTAAATTGGCACCATTTCTTACTATTCCTTCAAACTAAAACTACCCTACACCAATCAAGACAGAATTCTGAAATTAGGGGCTTCCCTGGTAGCGCAAGGAGTTAAGCACCGCACTATGAAGCAATCCGCAGCCTCTGCAGCACGAGTTCAATCCCCAGCCCTCCAGGGAGCATCCCACATGGTGAAGCAGACCTCTCCTGTCTCGCCCACTGCTCCCCCCAGCACTGAATTTCAGTTTGCCTGTTCTGTTCCCCAATCTGTCTCTGGTGAATCCTCTCACCCCCTGCATCTCTGGGCTGTACCCCAGCTCTTGTATGCATAAATAAATACATCTTAAAAAAAAAAAGTTCTGAAATTACCAGAAAAGGGTTAAAAATAACATGAGACAGGTGCTTTTTTAATTATATTTAACTGTAAGATAATTAAATTCAAATAAAGTCTATACATCCAAATCATACTATCTACTTCAAAGTAGTGACATCAGGAAACTACTCATTTGTAACTGATGTTACCAATGCTCAAACCATTCTCTTCTGCAAATCTGGAAGCTATGGCATATTCTTTTGACCTTCTCTAACAGTTGAGTTCCAAGAAAACAGCATATTCTTTTGACCTTCTCTAACAGTTCAGTTCTAAGAAAACAGCTAAGTAAAGCTGGCTTGGTGATTGAGACAGGTGGTATCAAACTGTCAAAAGCATTTTTAATGCAACTGAAAGGATGAAATGGGTTTTCTTGCATAGTCATAAACTGATTTTAAAGGCATCTCTGAAAGCTTTCAAAAATACTACACTTTTACAGCATAGCTGGAATAAGTAATGCTTCCAAAGGAACCATTCTGAAGATCAATTCATTTGGATGTTTAAGGTATGACATTTATTTTAAAAGAAAGTCCTACAACTTAATTATATCTCACATTATTTACCATAGCAGTGGTTATCAAAACCTCTCTTAGAGAGGGTGTAGACAAAGGTATAAATCACAAGGAAAATGCTAATATGAAAAATGGAGTTTGATGATTACATGTAAAATATAAATATCCACATCATTTGTACTTCCTAAATATAAGAGATTGTAGTGCTTTATCTTTCCTGATAAGCCATGCCAGTATTCAGTCTGAGATATGCATATCTGTTCCTAGATATGCCTTCTACCTAATATATTTTATGTTTGCCATTTAGAACTTAGAAATAACAAACGTAAAAGGAGACAGTAATCTAAAAGTCTTTCAATTTAAGGTAAACTGACCTCTAAAGCTTCTACCAGCTCATACATGCTTACTGTTTTAGTGCAGTCTAATGCCAGTCTTTGTGGGAAAGAGATTAAGTCAGCAAATGAAAACCAATGGCACCATCTACTGCTACTAAAAGAGTTCCACTGTTACTAATTTCTCTCTACCATCATTATTCCAGCATTTAAAATTATTCCTAAAATTTGCTTCTATCAACATTTAGCCAAGGAATTGTGACAGTAATTCAGTGTTAACTTACTACTTTATATTTTATAGGATGCTTTTATTAGCAGATGAGAAAACTAACTTCTGCTTTATAACTCTATAAAGAGCAAGACAGATCTTTTATCTTGGCTATTTATAAATTAAAGGTATCAGACATTTATAAGAAAGTTCTACTACAAAACTTGTTTGTAGTAGATCCTATTTTATACAGGGCATCTTAATAACACTCATGGGAACCAAATGAATTAAAGCAACATTTTATTAAGTCAGATATTTTTCACAAGCTCTGTGCTTCCTTATAGTCATGTAATACCATGTACCATGCGAGGCCTTGCCCTTGGAGAACTTCTCTACTTCGTTACCATATGTACACATACATATCTCCTTATTTCCTGATACTTCTGTTGAAAGGATACTCCAAACAGGCACCTGAGATTCTAGCACAATGACAACAAAAGCCTGTCTACATGCAGTTGGAAAGTAGGTTCTACTACGAAAGATTATCTTAGAGAGATATTTTTCCATTTTTTACAGTGTATTACTGCATAAGGCTTAAAAGAGCAAGAATAATTTTTCTCTGTTCTCTCTACACTTGGCTGTTACAATCCACTATTAGGTTGATATGAAGTCAGATGCAGTATGGAAGACTTGAGTAATCATGTGCTTCATTTTCCTATATAGACTGGACCCCAAATCACTTGATATCAAGTTTTCTTTTGAATCACCATAGCGGCTAATATTATCAATTTCAATACTAAAAGATTCGTTTTAAGAAAATCAGCTAGTTCTCACTTGAGTTTATAATCATTAACAATGAATGTCCAATATATTTCTCTCTGCCAGGTTACTTCAACAGTAACAGGTTACTGTTACTTCCACTAGTTGGTACTTGTCAAATGATTGCTAGAAAAAAATGGAGAAAAAGGCAGTTCCTAATGATCATTAGTGTAATGGCATTAAATTTGTCACTACTATACTTGCTAATGGAATCAAATGAAAATAGGGCCTCCCTGGTGGCGCAAGGAGTTAAGACACAATCTATGAAGCAGTCCACAGCTTCTGCAGCACTAGTTCGAAATCCCTGGCAGCCGTCCAGGGAGCAACACACATGGCACAGCAGACCTCTCCCCTCTCGCCCACTGCTCCCCTGAGCAGTGTACTTCGGTCAATCTGCCTGTTCTGTTCCCCACTCTGTGTGGTGAATCCTCTCACCTCCCACACTTCTAGCCTGTACCCCAGCTCTTGTATGCATAAATAAATCTTTAAAAAAAAATGAAGTCAGAAACTGATTCCATTTTAGATTCTTTTTTAGTAAATGTTTTTAGTCTGTACAATTTCAGAGCAAGATTTCTACACTATAAGGAAAAAAATATTTATTTCTAACTGAAGGAATTTACAAAATTTACATTGGAAGTCTGAAAAGGCTGTTTCTCAATAAAATCCAAGTGAGAAATGATCATATTTACTTTAAAAACTAAGTTTCTGAAGGCAAGGCAAATAAAATGTGAAAGTTACTACTGAATTAGCACTTTCATTGTTTGATATCACTGCAAAGAAAAAGATTTCCTTTCACAGTAGAAAAATCAGAAGTCATACTGCTTCAAATTGGGCCTATAATAAGTAAAGAAGGTACTGTATCATTTTAAAATGACAGGCAAATACCAGCTCCATTCATTGAATGGAATTGCTGAAAAGTGATCAATTTCCCAAAACAGTCTTTAAATTCCTCATTTAATGTCTATATCCAAAATTAATAACTTATTTTTAACTTCTCATGGAAGCTGATTCCTAAAAGGAAGTCATAAGACTTGTTTATAAGCAATTCATTAAAATCTTTATGTCATTCTATCCAAGCTTTTAAGATAGGACTTTCTTGAACTTGATTCACCATACTTAATCCCATCCCTAACTCCCCAAATTAATAACACACACACATCCCTGCCCCCAAATCAACACAAATCAAACACAAACACAAACTCCTATCCCTTCTCTTCAAAGAAGGGGACTCTGCAGACTTATGGCTCATTTGGCAATTGCTAAGAAACCTCACAGTTCAGCATCACCTCTAAAGATGGCAAACCTATATATAACCTGAATTTTTACACCTACAGTGCAGTTAACATACAGAAAGAAGCTAAAATGCAAAACATATTACATTTCAACATCCTTAAGTTTCAATATCACAGATATAGAGATGGAAAAAAAACCTGCTTGTAAAACTTTAATTTGTTGAACAGAATTATCAATATCAAAAATAATTAAGATACTAATTTTTTTTTTTTGTTCTACATGCACAACTTTACAAATGGTGTTTGTTCCATGTAGTAAAAGATGGAGATCACTGATTTAGGTAAACTATGGCTTTTATCATAGATATTTTAAAACATGCATCAATAAGTGCCCTGGGTAATACTCCTAATAATTATTTCAAGCCCTGTTCAGTTCTATGTCTGTGCTTTGCACCTCAGAAGTGAGCCTGCCAAGGCACTTTTTGAAAACATAAGTCTTTCGGGGACTTCAAAAATCCACCACAATTTATACAACACAGAAACCCCTTCCATCAGCAGTCTAATTAATAAGTATATTCTTTCCACTCACAATGGTATTGTAAATTCCACAAGTAACAAAACCAAGGTAAAGTATATATATGTTCTGTATGCCACTAAGACAAAATTTACTCCTATCCAATGTATTAAGAATGATTCTTGGCTATCTGTAGCAATAGAATATGGCTTAAATTATTCAGATTAAAGGAAAAGGAACCCAAGCAAGTCCCCCAAAACCTAAAACAAAAACAACTGAGATAAAAAACAAAAATCCAAATACACTCCACACAGCTTCATTCGAGGAACAATTTGCACAGCTCTGCATCCTTTTATCTGTCCTTTGAGGTGAGTTTTTCAATCAATTCTTGGAGTGGGGCAAGTTCTCGTCTATCGATAAGGTTGAATTCCTGTGCATGTTAAAGGCAGAAGAAATTGCAAACATGTATTGTTTAATCTCATTCCAAAGCATATTTTCATTAACTTTTTTTTAATTAGCTTTTACATAAACAGTCAAAATTTTTTCAAAAACATTTTTTTTCTATTCCCTAGCTCTGTGACTTAGGCAAATAACCACTTCTGATGTTATATTTTCGTATCTATAATAATATCAGGATAAATCCCCCTACTTCATGGAATTACTGTGGGGACTAAATGTAATACATTAACACTTCACTTCATGTACTCCCTGACACAAGTAAACATTTAGGCACCATTTAAATATATAGTCAACCAAGTAGGGACCAAGATATCTAGCATTCAGGCAAATATCAATATTCTATGAGAACAAAAGAATGGCTATAAACCCAAACATCTGCAAAGTTAGCATGAAAAGTGGTATGAAAATAAATAGGGCCTCCCTGGTGGCATAAGAGGTTAAGCACTGCACTGGAAAGCTGTCTGCAGCCTCTGAAGCATGAGTTCGATCCCCAGCTGGCCAGGGAGTTGCCCGCATGGTGCGACAGACCTCCCCTGTCTCACTTGCTGCTCCCCTGAGCAGTGTATTTCAGTCAGTCTCCCTGTTCTGTTCCCCACTCTGTCTCTGATGAATCTTCTCCCCCCTCCCACCCTCTGGCCTACCCCAGTTCTTGTATGCATACATAAATAAATCTTTAAAGAAAAAAACATAAATAATGTGGAGTTCACATGTGATAAATGAAAATCCTGTAAAGAACCAATAAGAAAGCCTAGATTTAATGTGCCCTTCCTTTAGATATTCTACCTCCTTAATTCTGAAGATCGATTCTGAATAGATTTCCCTAAACTATAAATTATAAGACTAATAAATACAGATTGCCTATATTTCTGATCTGATATTGTGCCATGGTAGGGTATTTTGAAGTCCCGACTTCATTCATTTATTAATGTCCATTATGTTCCAAGAACACTGTAAGTAATAAAGAGAAGCATCTGAAGGTATTTAACAGCAAGCCTAACCTTAAGATTTGTGGGGTCAGAACCAAGAACACAAATGAATACTTATCATATGACTAAACTGTCAAATTTATATTAAGCTAATATATTGTTAAATATAACAAATTCCATTCTCCTACCGAAATGAATATACTTTCATAGGAAAACCGATTCAAATTCAAAATTCTCAAGACTCCTCAGTATTCTGCTTTGGAAAATAGTGACATAGGTACCTGGCCCTCCCTAATCTTCCAACTCCCAGCTCCATGCTGCACTTCAAGGGGTGGATATCATGACTGGCTTACAAATATAAACAATGTCCACATACCCTCACAAAGAACTGCTATCTGGCTACCCCCTTAGTCTAGAGGTATACATACCAGAAATAGGACTGTCCCTTAAAAGAATGAGCCCAAAACATCCATTCAGGACCTGGAAATATACTATGGGGAGGGAATTCTGAGGTCTCAGGTACCCAAACATACACCAGTAAGGGATCTGGATAGGATATGTTCTTGGTTCTATAGATCCCTCACTCTGTGGGGAGGACAGAGCTAAAAGAAGTGTCAAAGCAGGATTCTCTAAATCATGAGGGCCAGGGGAGAGACCCCTCTTACTCAGTCAAGGGGTAATACTGTGGACTACCTTTAAGATTACAGTGTACTGAGTGAAATAGGATCAGATGTGATAAATGCCAGGAATAATCCCCTACTCTTTGGGAGTTGGGAGATACAGTACACTTTAACATCATATAGTAAGGTAAAACTAACCCTTATGGTGCAAGAGTATCCTCTCCTAAACCACCAAAACCTGAACCTGACCCATCATATTCGGCCTAAACTAAAGAACACACAAATGCAAACTTTAGGATAACATCATCTTTGTTTCTACAGGTAACTATAGATGAGACACTATAGTAAAGTAACTGCTCAGACCAATCTTTTCCAAGTTACAATTTCTCCTAAAATGATCGATGCCCTCAGTGTGAGTAGTGTGAACAGAGAGAAAATAGACACATTTTTCTTTAGTGGAGAGGGACATGGGGAAGGCAATTGAAAGTATAAGCCCATATATATATGAAAACAACAGATTCAACCCTTTTATTTCCCCTGCCTACCATCCCCCAACCTCTACCCCCCCAAAAAAGTTGATTAGCTTATCTATTCCACCTCATTTGCAATCATGCTTGTTACTTCTCCAATTATCATATAGCAAGAAAAAAATATCCTCATTCCCCTTAATCTGTATCTCTAAGGCCAATTCTCTAAGGGTTAGAGTGTGAAGAAAGAGAAGGTCAACTAAGAAATCAAAACAAAGACTAATGGAGCTCTGGAATAACAACACTCTTTAAGACACTTTTCCCCCCTTCAGAAATAATGGACAATTCTTTAAGTAAACAATTATTCAGAACATGATTTTTAAAAGGAGGGAGAGTCAGGAAGGTACTATACAAAGCCCATTTCCAGGCCAGGGTAGACACATATTGAGGATTAAGAGAGGTAGGAGGAGTGCTAAAATGCTTAAACCAAATTCATCTACAAGTCTACCAAACTAGCAGGTTTTTTCATTCAACCTCTCCATTATACCCTGTTTAACTGAAGCTAATCTTAAGTCCTCTCAGAGATCTAATTTAGATTTTTATGCTATCAGCTTGGAGGTGAATGGTATTCAGAAATAAAAGGTCAGTCCTTACCATCACAGCAAGTATGGAGAAGGACAAAAACTAGAGAGATAAAGCAAATCTTATTCTGAAAGTATGAATGTAATTTTTACCTCAGAACCCTGTGGATAATTACTTTTACTGAGCGAAAAAGAACTCCCAATCCACTCACCTGTACAAAAAAAATAAAGTGCTTGAAAGATGTGTTGAGATGTGCTTCCTCCTGAAGCTGGATCACAGGATCAAAATGCTGATGATAAATGTGAGCATAAACCCTAAAGAGGCGCTTGAGTATAGTTTTTGCCACAGACATGAAATTCTTTGGGAACGGGACACCTGGTAAAAAGAAAAACAACCTTTATATTAACAAGAAAAGGGAACAAGGCAATAACAGTTCACTGAGAAATGGCAGCATACATTACCAAGACAAGACTGAAAAGAAATACTTATGAATTACTATTTAATATATTTATTGCACTTTTCAGAAATTCTCATCATGAATGAAAATAAACTTTAAAGTGTCTATGGAATAAGAACTGGTCTTCATTATAGCCTTTCATGCCACTGATATACCACTACTTTACTAAAATGAAACAAATAATACCTAAGATAGTAGTAGAGTTAAAACTTACATCTATTGTTTCTAATAACTTTTGGTTGAGTCTTAGGATTTTCTACAAATAATATCATATTGTCTGCAAATAGTTGTAGTTTTTCTTTTCTGACTCTCTTAACACAGGTCAGATTTTGTTACTATCCTAGATACTCTGATCTTCTTGCTGCTTAAAATTATAGGGAGGTTAATCTTAATGTTCATGATAAACTTGGTATGAAAAAGTCAAGACCCTTTGAAATAAGATTAGAAGCATCTTAATAGGTATAGTAATGGATTCCACTTATACAAAGCAATTTTACCAATTTTTGATGGAAACAGGGTCTCATCATCCAACTGGTCTTGAACCCAAGTCATCAGGTAATCAATATACTTTGGTGCAGAGCACTTAATAGGCTTCTTTATGTTTGTTCCATCTGCCCAATGATATTCATATCTGCATTGGAAAGATTAAAAAACAGATTTTTTTATATTATATAAAAATATTTTATATTTTTATATATGTATGTATATTATGAATGTATACACTTTTGTTGATTGATTTTATGGAAGCTACTCCTCCAAATAAAGAGTCTTTGCATTGAGCATTTAAATTTATGCTTTTAAAATGCTACTGCTCAGAGCCACCCAGGTGGCGCAAGGGGTTAAGATGTAATCTATGAAGTGATCTGCAACCACTGCAGCACGAGTTCAATCCCCAGCCAGGGAGCAACCCACATGGCACAGCAGACCTCTCCTATCTCGCCTGCTGCTCCCCTCAGCAGTGTATTTCAGTCAGTTTGCCTGTTCTCTTCCCACTTTGTTCCTGGGGTGAATTCTCTCACCCCACCTCTGGCCTGTACCCCAGTTCTTGTACACATAAATAAATAAATCTTTAAAAAATAATAAAATGCTACTGTTCTATTTTGCATCTATCACAATCCAAACTAAGCAGATTTCATCAAACTCATTTATTGTGTTTCTATGTTCTCTTTATGTTTAATTTTCTTACAGAGTTTTCCTTCATATATGATTTATTTCAAATCATACACTGCCATAGTAGAAAAATAGCTTACTTCCAACTTCTGTGATGATTATCTTTAATTTCTATGGTTGGTTGGTTGATTTCTCTCTTGAAAAACATTTCTCCTTATTCTTTTTAACTTGGGGGTATTAAATTTTGAGTTAAGGGTAGAGACTTACAGGGAAGCGCCAAAGTAACACGAATGAAAAGAATGATTCAGTTTTTTAGTACATTTGGTTGAGGAACTAAACATGCTTTTGAAGAAAACTGGTAATACCCAGTTGGGAATTAACAAAACACTAGCCAAATAAAAATGTCTATAGGATTTGGATGTTAACAGAATATTATCCTTTTGGGATAATATGAAGTGGATCTATTATCCTTTTGGGATAATATGCATTTAATGCACCTACCATGTGAGAAGTACTGTGTCAAGAACAAGGGACACCAAAATGAAAGACACTTTCCCTACTTCTAAGGAGAATAGACTAGCAGAGAAGACAGTCTTCTAAGTAAGCAAAAAATATATAACAAGAATGAAAATGGAGTTATATACACATACACAGACAAACTGAACTTTTAAGGTAAGGAATGTACGACCAAACTCCAAAACATAAAAATCTCTAAACTGAATTAGCATTTAGTTTTTTAGTTTCTGAAGTTACTTCTGCCACTTAGCTTGTCTATTTGAATCAACGGTGTTTTTTATAACTTTGTCCCAGAGTTTGGGCTGACAAAATAATAGATCAGTTGGACTAGCAAAGGGACAACAGAAAATATAGTGGAAAAATACTAAATAGTGTATTTTTTTCATGCATTCAGGAAATATTTTTATGTGTGGACAGAGAAGAGCATGACCATCACAGATTATACTCTATGGGACAGAAAACTCACAAGGTATTTTTAAACAATAAAAATTATCTTAAGGTAGGATGAACAAGGTTGCTTTCTATTTAATTATAGCTACTAACATCTGAATTCTAAGTCTAAACAGGATACACCTGAATAAACATTCTGGCAGCATATCTTACAGCTAACCGTAGGCAAAAGAGATGACTGTCCAGCAGTCTACTTTGAAGGTTGCCAAGAGCAGATATTCTAGTACATTTTGGCATCCTGTTCCACTATCTAAATCACTTTCACAGTCAAGAGACTCTTCCTAATATAAAACAAAGTCCTGAGTGTGACTTAAACCTATTCTTGTTTGATCTTCTTTGGAGACAGAGACCACAAATGGTAGACTTTTTTTTTTTTTTTTTTGTATTTATACAAGAACCAGGGTGCAGGCCAGATCCGCAGAAGGGTGAGAGGAGATCATCAGAGACAGAGCAGGCAGGGAACAGAACAGGCAGACTGACGAAATACAATGCTGAGGGGAGCAGCGGGCAAGACAGGAGAAGTCTGATGCGCCATGTGGGACCCTCGCCGGCCAGCCAGGATCAAACTGGTGCTGTAGAGGCTGCGGTCAGCTCACAGTGCTGCACTCAACTGCCTGTGCCACCAGGGGAGGCCCACAAATGGCAGACTTTTAATCATCATTACTTTTCACTTAAAGAAAGGGACTCATCCATGTTTTCTCCCTTATGTTAAGAAATGCCAACATTTTGCCTTCCCCTCACAATTATGTTTTTCATTTTATTCATAATCATCAAATGTTCCACATTCATTTTTTTTAAAGATTTATTCATCCATGCATACAAGAACTGGGGTACAGGCCAGAGGTGTTGGGAGTGAAAGGATTCACAGAGACAGAGTGGGGAACACAACAGACAGATCGACTGAAATACACTGCTGAGGGGAGCAGCGGGGTAAGTCAGGAGAGGTCTGCTGTGCCATGTGGGATGCGCCCTGGATGGCTAGGGATAGAACTCGTGCTGCAGTGGCTGCAGACAGCCTCATAGGTTGCATCTTGCGCCACCAGTGAGGCCCCATATTCACTTTTAAATATAAAAATTGAAAGCTGACACAGTAGATAAATCATTTTTAGTATCCTAAACTTTTTAAAAAGTTGATATTTAAGAAAATATCAGCTTTCAATATCCTAAAGCTTTTTGAAAAATATTGTATATTGCTTATACTTCTAGAGTTTATTAACTATGATTTCTTGATCTTTTTCTTTGATAATGTTTTTACTTAAGATGACTTCATCCTGTAATTGTAGTTTGCTCCCACTGATTTTTTCATTCTACCTTTGATAGAGTGTTGTCTTTGAAATATATTTCTGTCATCATGGTTTGAACTTAAAAAGTGCAAACTCCAAAATATTCATCACTTCTTGGTTAATAATAATAAAGAGTTAATAAAAACAAAACCCTATGAGCCATTGCTCAATATCACCTTTGCCAAGTACCAGTGCTAATCTATTAACAAATGCCTCTCCTTGATACAATCCTGAGTATCTACTGGTATGGATGGCAAACCATGACAACTAAACAGCATAACAATGGGCAAAAGTTAAGATTCTCCAAAATAGGAAGAAAGACAACAGGTAGACAGAAGTAAAGGTGGAAGTAAGGAAGAGGCAGTAAGGAAAAAAGGAGGAAGGAAAGCTGGAAGAAAGTAGGGGAGGGAAGGAGGAAAACATAGCTTTAAGGTTACACACACAGAGAAAAACAGCTCTCAAATAAAGCTAGAAGAATTTGCTTTCTTAAAAGGCAGTGTTCTCAATTTCTAAATGCAAAACAGACCGTATAACAACAAAATAAAAACATCTATTTTTACAAGAGAAACAAATACCTTAAGTCAACACCAATAATACTGGAATTAAGAAGTGCTAAAAAAGGCATTTCATTTTAAAACCTCCCCTCTTCCTCTAAGAAATCATATCAAAATAACAAGTAACAGAAATGCATACTCTATCTTCGATAAATCTGAGACACCCGTCTCTGAATCACAGCATAAGAAAAAGCAATACCTTTTTATACACAAGTTCAAACAGAGTGAAGGAAGACAAAAAGAAAAAAAAAAAATGCACTAGCAGGTGCAGATCCCAAAGTCCAAAGAGGGTATTTCTCCAAAGTAATTAGTCCCCCTGGGGCATAAAGATTACAGAACATACCTCTGCATTGAGAGACCAATAAGGAGGCAGGAGATTTAGGGGAAACTGGATTGTGAACAGTGCTACAGCTACTCTTCTCCGTAGGCTAGAAAGAAGTGAAGGTTCAAGCGTATGTTTGTGCCTCTAGCAACGCACTGTTAGAACTCATATTAAATACTGTCTACCAGGGAAGCTCATTAGAGAGTCAGTCCCAGATTTTTTACTGGGGTATGGTCTAGTAGACACCCTCTGTATGACATATAATAAAATTCTAGACTCCCAGAAGAAAAGTATAAACTGTATTGCTTGTACAAACATTAAGGCACACTGAGCAGCTCTGAAGTTATGGTGAAATACAAGTTCACAGATGTCATCCTACTTAAGGCTAATCTTATAAGCAGGCTTTTCGAGAGACAGCAGTCAAGTCTTCAAAGTTAACTTTTTTCTGCACAAAGGTAATACAGGGAAACACTGAGGAAATATTTCAGGTTGAAGGTACCTGAAGGGATAGCTCAAATAAATGCAATACATAGATATGATCCTAGACCAGAAAGGATATCTAAGATATTGTTGGCCAACTAAGGAAACATGAATGGTATCTATGGACTAAAGTAAGTTATCTGGAGGATCTGTATGCTGGTTATACCTAATAATACCCTTATTTTTGAAAAATGTACACCTGAATATGTAGAGATGAAGAGATACAATGTGCTCAAAGATTCAGAAAGAATGTTACTGAGTGTAGAAAGAGAGTGACAAAGCAAATGCAGTAAAATGTTAATAGTTACAGAATCTGGGTCAAAGGGATATATAGGGGAGTTCTTTTTGCTGTTCTGGCAACGTATCTGTACACTTAAAATTATTTGAACTTTCAAAGTTTGAAATTGTTTGAAAATAAGTTATTTCAATATGTTTTAAAATGTTCCCGTCGAAAAAATTACCTTACAAAATATCAAAGCATGTTATTTTTAACATCTCTGATGGTGGCAAACTGTCATTCTTTTTAAAAGGACTGGTTTTGAGACAGCAAAACTCATTAAAGATCAATTTAAAGAATAAGATGGAAGATCCCAATTAGGTGTTATTTTGTTTAACATGTGAATTTGGTCAAATGATAAAGTATGACAATGAAGTAATAAAGTTGAATCTCTTGTACCGCAATTAAAAATTAATTAAAATATATATACCAAATTTAATTTTATCTACTTTTGACAATTTCTCCATGCTTTCATGGAGTACCTGATCAATGTAGTCTTGTGTTTTGTGTTTCCTAGTTTGAACTGACATCTAAATGTTCTCTTGGTATCAGACCAAGAATTAATTTGACTTTCTTTGTGTGGCTTTCAGTACATAGTAGAGTATAATGCTTTAACTCATTTAATTTTTTTATTTTATTTTTATTTCATATGATTGATAAGAGTCAATAATTTTAGGGCCTCCCCGGTGGCACAGCGGTTGAGCGCTGGGTTGTGAAGCTGCCCGCAGTCTCTGCTGCGCCGGTTCGATCCCCAGCTGCTCCCCGGCCACCAGAGGAGGGCCCCACATGGCGCGCTAGACCTCTCCTGCCGCCCACTGCTCCCCTCAGCAGTGTACTTCGGTCCTTCTGCCTGCTCTGCTCCCCGCTCTGGCTCTGGTGAATTTTCTCACCTTCCCGCGCTTCTGACTGTACCCAGTGCTTATATGTATGTATGTATAAATCAATCAGTCAATAAATAAATAAATAAATCTTAAAAAAAAAAAAAGAGTCAATAATTTTAATGCCTAAAAACTATTTTTGTGAACATGGTTTTTTCATGCTTAAAAATACAAAACTCGGGCCTCCCTGGTGGCACAAGGGGTTAAGCACCATACTGTGAAGCAATACACAGCCTCTGCAGCACAAGTTCAATCCCCGGCCGGCCAGAGAGAAACCCACATAGCAAAGCAGACTTCTCCTGTCTCGCCTGCTGGTCCCCTCTGCAGTGGATTTCAGTCAGTCTGCCTGTTCTGTTCCCCGCTGTGTCTCTGGTGAGTCCTCTCACCCCCTGCATCTCTGGCCTGCACCCCAGCTCTTGTATGCATAAATAAATAAATCTTTTTTAAAAAATGAATCTCTCGGTCGCTGGTGATCTGGCTCTGAAATTTCAATTTAAAAGTTATCAAAAAGGGCCTTCCTGGTGGCACAACAAGGGGTTAAGCACTGCACTATGAAGCTGTCCGCAGCCTCGCAGCACAAGTTTGATCCCTGGCCAGCCAGAGAGCAATCCACATGACGCAGCAGACCTCTCCTGTCTCTCCCCCTGCTCCCCTTGGTCAGTCTGCCTGCTCTGCTCCCCACTCTGTCTCTGGTGAATCCTCTCACCCCCCGCATCACTGGCCTGTACCCCAGCTCTTGTATGCATAATTAATAAATCTTAAAAAAAAATAAAAGTTCCCAAAAATATTCTGAATAATGAAGCATTCATACAAGCAAGTGATCAGTAATCTAAGGTCACTATTTACAATAGCAATATTTCCAAGCACTAGCATGTTCCGGCAGACTGGTGTGTTGTTTTGCTATTTATACCACATACATATAATGGGGATGGGATGTGATTTTTTTAAAAAGTCAGCACTATAAACGCCCTACAGATGTGTATAATCATCAATTAGTAAGTCTTATAACAAAAAAATAATACAGTACAGCAACTAACAGTACAGGTAATAAATTCTAAGAGACCTGGATCTCAACCCTAGTTCTGCCTGTTTATAAATAACAGGATCTTGCACATGTTATTTGGATATATTATTATCTTGGACCTTTCTTAGACTTAAATTTCTTGTCCTGTGAAATAGGGATAACAATAACGTTCTTATCTCATAGACTTGCTTATGAAGTAAAATACAATAAAGCATGAAAGGTCCTACATTTAGGAAGCACTAAGTGGTAGCTGCCATTACTATTATCAATAATAACAATTTAAAAGTTTCAAAATGTATTGATCCAAGCAACATTTACTGAGTGCAAGCTTGGCAGCAGGCAATGTCCTGGTGGCAAGCAATGTCCTTGCACCAAAAGGGATTTAAAAGAACAAATCTAACAGGTTAAATAAGTAGTGTATAAGTAGTGTAAGTACAATGTAACAAGAAATACAATCATTAAGACAAAAACAATCATTAAGACAAAAAACATTAAGTAGAAAGATCACATGCAGTCTGAAAAAAATCATAAGGTTTTATAAAGGAAGCACCAGATAGAGACATTGAAGGGTTCTGGTAGATTCACTTTAAAGTTCTTTGCTACCAGCATTTTCACTATAAGACCTTTCATCACAAATATTTTCACCATATAACTAACTGGCCATTAGGCAATTTTGTCAGAAAAAGAAAAAAAGTCACAAAAGATTAAAAAAAAAAAAGGGAGGGCCTCCCCGGTGGCGCAGCAGTTGAGCGCTGGGTTGCGAAGCTGCCCGCGGCCTCTGCGGCGCCGGTTCGATCCCCGGCTGCTCCCCGGCCACCAGAGGAGGGTCCCACATGGCGCACAGACCTCTCCTGCCGCCCGCTGCTCCCCTCAGCAGTGTACTTAGGTCCTTCTGCCTGCTCTGCTCCCCGCTCTGGCTCTGGTGAATTCTCTCACCCTCCCGTGCTTCTGACTGTACCCAGTGCATGTATAAACCAAACAAACAAACAAACAAACAAATAAATAAATAAATAAGACATGCCTCTAGAAAATTAAAAAAAAAAAAAAAAGGGACATAATTCAAAGGACACAATGAAACATAGAAAATTAATAACAAAATAAAGGTGGGGCCTCCCCTGTGGCGCAGCAGGTTGAGTACAGCACTGTGAAGTTGTCCACAACCTCTGCAGCACAGGTTCAATTCCTGGCCTGCCAGGGAGATACCCACATGGCATGTTAGATCTCTCCTGTCTCATCCACTGCTCCCTTCAGCAGTGTTTTCGGTTCATCTACTGTTCTGCTTCCCCAGTCTGTCTCTGGTGAATTCTCTCACCCTCCCGCACTCTGGTCTGTACCCCAGTTCTTGCATAAATAAAATAAATCTTTAAAAAAATTATAGATAAATAGATAAAAATAAAAGTGATCTTATTTCTCGCTAAATTTTCTTACTTAAGAGAGGTATACATATTTACAACTGAGTTTCAATTAAAGGTAACGTTTTTTTCTCTTAGAAGACATTAGCATCAAGAGATGGGAAGAAAGATATTCCAAAGAAAAACAGAATGAAGTTTACAGAGCATAAGTAAAGTAATAGTCTTACTTCTTTTGAACATTTCTCAAACATCTGTTGAGTTTCCCTTTATTTTCTGTTTGAGAAAAACTGGTAGGCTTAAGATGCCTCCACCCAATGTGTAAACATCTGTCTCATTCACTGTTGTCATCTTTGATCATGAGAGCAGCTCCTGCAGGAGTGTCCAGTGTGGAGAGAGAGAGGGGGCTATGCCTGAAACAGCAGTGTCTCCTCACTAGGCAGACCCTGAAGGCAAGGAGGCTCAGATTTCCATTTTAAATTGTTTTGAAGTGTTGCTTGCATGAATTCTAAAGGCCTTTTTAAGTCTATTGCAAATCACTACTCTGGGATCACATGGCTTTTTTCCTTTCTATAGAAATTTAGCAAGGTATTTCCAATAATCTAGTTTGGATAAACCAGAGGAGAGATACACAGCAAAAGGAGAAAAGAAAGGATGAAGGACAATATTGAGCTCTCTAAGAAATCTGGACTTAATGCAGCATCGTTGGAAAAATCTCTGAGATGCTAAGTAGAAAAATTTTTGGTCAGAAACTTTCTTCTTATTTTAGAGCTGTAAAATAAAGTAAAAATGAGAACTAATCATGAACCATGTCTTACTTTGGGCCAGCTGACATCACTGGACAACTTTCCTCCGTACAGAAATCTGTAATGGTTCCATAAAGCATGTTGATCTGATTGAAGAAATCCACAGCTACAAAACAAATTACCAGTTATAAGTAACACAGAATGGTTAATATAAAAATTAAATTTTAGGGCCTCCCTGGTGGCACAAGGGGTTAAGAACAGCACAAGTTCGATCCCCAGCAGGCCAGAGAGCTACCCACATGGTGCAGCAGACCTCTCCTGTCTCACCCACTGCTCCCCTCAGCAGTATATTTCAGTCCATCTGCCTGTCCTGCTCCCTGCTCTGTCTCTGGTGAATCCTCTCACCACCACCACCCATCTCTGGCCTGTACCCCAGTTCTTGTATGCATAAATAAATAAAACCTTTTAAAAAATTAAATTTTAACTTTACTCAAACAGAATCTTAGATTATCGGTGTTCTTATCTGTACAAATAGGTTTAAAGCATATACAGAAACCACAATATTTGACTACATTAACGAGGAACTTCTGTTTATTAAGTGACACCATTAAGAAAGACAAAAAGAGGGCTTCCCTCCTGGCGCAAGGGGAGATGTCTCAGCATTGTCAGCTATCACCAGCCACTGCACCATGAGTTCAATCCCTGGGCAGGGAGCTGACCCATATGGCGCAGCAGACCTCTCTCCTGTCTCACCCATTGCTCCCCTCAGGAGTGCATTTCAATGGATCTGCCTGTTCTGCTCCCAACTCAGTCTATGGTGAATCTTCTCACCTCCCCGTACCTCTGGCCTATACCCCAGTTCTTATATGCATAAATAAATAAAAATAAATCTTTAGGGGAAAAAAAGGAAGCCAAAAGGCAAGTAGTGAGAAAAATTATTTGCAACACATATAACCAAGAAAAATCTTGTATCCAAAATATATAAAACAGCCTATAGCTCAGTAAGAAAAAGACACTATAGGGGCCTCCCTGGTGGTACAAGGGGTTAAGACACAACCTATGAAGCTCACTGCAGCCACTAAAGCACAAGTTCAATACCCAGCTAGGGAGGTGACCCACATGGCGCAGCAGACCTCTCCTGACTTGCCCACTGTTCCCCTCAGCAGTGTATTTCAGTCGATCTGCCTGTTCTGTTCCCTGCTCTGTCTCTGGTGAGTCCTCTCACCCCCTGAAACTCTGGCCTGTACCACAGTTCTTGTATGTATAAATAAATCAAAAAAAAAAGAAAAAAGAAAAAGGCACTATAGAAATATAAAACAGCACTTCACAAGAAAGTTTCCAGATGGGAGAACCAACTTTGTATTCCTGGAATAAACTCAACTTGGTCATATGTTCTACTTCTTACGTACAGTTAGATCAAGTTTGCAAATATCTTTACTAGAATTTTTACATATAATTTCATAACCTAAATGACCTAGTTTCCTTCCTTGTAATGTTCATTTTGAGCTTATGAAACTAGTATTTTTTCCATTCTCTTTCATAGTAAGAAAAAGACTGGTGTTATTTCTTCCTTAAGTGTTTGATGGAATTGGCTATTGTGAGAAATCAGAATTTTTTTTTTTTTTTTTTTTTTTTTTAAGATTCAAGAACTGGGATGTAGGCCAGAGGCGCAGGGGGCAAGAGGATTCACCAAAGACAGAGTGGAGAGCAGCACAGGTGGATTTACTGAAATAAATATATTGCTAAAGGGAGCAGTGGGCAAGACAGGAGAGGTCGGCTGCACCATGCAGGTCAGCTCCCTGGCTGGGGATCTAACTTAGGTGGTCGACGTGGAAGCACTGAGACTTAACCCCTAGCCATGAGGGAGGCCCAAATGCTGTACTTTCTATGCTGAATTATTATTCTAAGGAGATGTTCAAACACTTCAACTTAAGTAATTTTTGTCCAGATATAATTGGTAAATGCCAGTGACATTCTGGAAGTTCCTAAAGTTTTAGGCATTTCAGGAGTACAGACATTCAGATCTGGCTATTGAGACAAAGAGAGAAGACAAACAGGAAACAATGATCTGTTTTTATACTCTTAAATCAGAATCTCAGGTAGCACAGAAGATCTACGCTGCCTTCCTTAGACTTTTTAAATAAATAAATGAGCTCTCAAAATGGTACAAAATACAAAAAGAACAAGAATGTGTGTGTGTATAAATATGTATGAGATTTATTCTGAATACTGTCTTTGAAATGTCACAGAACTATATATACATAAGATGGGTCTCATCAATGAAGCAAACAAATTACTTCATTTTCTTAGTAACTAAATTCCTGGTCGAGGAGAATAACTACAAACACTGTTACAGTAAAGTTTCAATAAAATTCTTCAGTTTCCTAAAAGTTATCAGTAGTATAAATACCAACATATAATTCAAATTACAATATTACCAGTTATTACAAGGAAAGTACTGTTTTGCTTTTCCTTAATCAAAGCCTAGACATTTAATATATGCTTTCAATTAAATTTCATTTTATTTTTCATATAAATTTCCCAATTATAAAGCAATTAAAAACTACTTTGTTAATGTTTAAAAACACTGAATATTAAAGATACCACTTTTATTTCCCAACTTTCGCAGGTTTAATTCCCAAAAATATATTTAATTATTCTTCCTAGGGGACTGAGGAATATCTCTTAAATATATTTTACTAATTTTATAAGATTGTGATTGAATTGTCTTTTCTATTTAAAAGCAGAATTCAGGGCCTCCCCGGTGGCGCAGTGGTTGAGCGCTGGGTTGCGAAGTTGCCCGCAGCCTCTGCAGCGCCGGTTGGATCCCTGGCCACCGGGTGAGGGTCCCACATGGCGCATAGACCTTTCCTGCCACCCGCTGCTCCCCTCAGCAGTGTACTTTGTCACTCTGCCTGCTCTGCTCCCCACTCTGGCTCTGGTGGATTCTCTCACCCTCCCGCACTTCTGACTGTATCCAGTGCTTGTATAAATAAATAAATAAATAAATCTTTAAAAAAAAAAAGGCAGAATTTAGACAAGTAATTCAGTATGTTACTGGAAGAAGAAATTTAGCATAGTGGTTAAAGTGTGCATCTGAAATTCTATAGCTTCGACATTTAATATCTATATGAACAATGCAAATTACTAATCCTTCTGTTTTATAGTTTCCCTTTCTATTAAACTGGGATAACAATAGTACCTACATCATAAGGTTATTACAAAGATGAAACAAAATAACCCATGTAAAAAGATAGTACAGTGTCAGGCACATAATTAGTGTTCTATAAATATAAACTGGTAATATTTTTATTTTTTCCCACTGATGATAAACCTATGCTTTGTATTTATTATACATTATAATGAGACAAGAATTTAATAAAATTCCATATATAGAAATAAAATGACATAAAAGCTAAAATGGATTGAGATATCACTATAGTGTAATTAGGTTCGGGAGAGCTCTCCAACATTCACCTACAATGTGGCTACTAACCTAATTTAGAATCTACTGAGAAACAAAAAGGTTACTTACTGTTCACTGCAACCCACTCATTTAGGTCTTCCCCTTCAGGAAGCATGACAGCCATCCGGAGGTTGCCACTGCCAAGTGTGGCTTCTGCATGCTTTAACAGCTCATATTGGTGAGAACCCTCTGGAATATTCTTCTTTGGCTTAAATGTTTTAGAGGACCGACTACCACTATGAATAGAAAATAAAGGACACTTAATATCTAAGACATGGTTTTCCTTTTTAAGACATGATTTTCAATAAAATCTTTATTACTGAATAAAACAATCTTTATTACTGAATAAAACAAAGATATGACCCTAAATGCCCATAAATAACCAGCAAATATACCTTAGCTCCTATCCGCATTAGAGCTAAATTGTACTGGCCACATTAAATCGCAGTAATATAATCGCTGTCACTACTGTGTTAGATAAACAAAATTCCTACAACCCTCTATACATTACCTATTGCAACTCCCAACTAGAAAATGAACTTTTAGCTTTAACTAATTCAGTTTTTCACAATAAATTAACAATTCAAAATCATAGCTTGTATTCTATAAAAACAACAAAGTAATTCTTTGACAATCTTAAATCATTTTATTCCTTTCATCCCTATTCTAAGTCTCTAATCCTACTATGAATAAATTTGTTTCCTTTGCTTAAAAAACATAAAGATAGTATTTCATATCAATAAAACACAAAAATCTGGGCCTCCCTGGTGGCACAAAGGGTTAAGCACTGCACTATGAAGCAATCTGCAGCCTCTGCAGAACTTGATCATTCTTCTCCCCCCCCCCCCCCCCCCCCCCCCCCCCCCCCCCCGGGGGCTGACCAGGGAGCAACCCACATGGCGCAGGAGACCTCTCCTGTCTCCCCACTGCTCCCCACAGCAGTGTACTCTGGTCAATCTGCCTATTCTGTTCCCCACTGTCTCTGGTGAATCCTCTCAACCACTGCATCTCTGGCCTGTACCCCAGTTCTTATATGCATAAATAAATATTTAAAAAAAAAATCTTAGAGCAAGAAAGAAAAACCCAATTATGGGAAGCATTAGTACTCTTAATCCAGAACTCAATTTACAAATAGCTAGCTATAAATATAGTTGGTTTTTTCAAATTTTTAATGAAACTAGTCTTAAAAACAGGTGTAAAAATTTTTAAGAAATTTTTAGCAAATTCTTATCAAATTGTACTATATCCTAGTCATCCCTTCTCAGTACTCCTTTTTCCCTCTTCATATAAAAAAGGAATTAGAAGAGGGTGGGTAAGTGAGAATTCCTTCAAGCTTAACATTACCAAATTCATTCCACCAAAACATTCAGACATTTGAACAGACTTGGGAAAAGGTAAATTGCAGAAAGTACAGAAAAGCAAAAGTTAAGACTTTCCAAATTCTTCTGCTCCCTAGCTTTCCAAGATATAGCAATAGTTCTCAACCACGGCTACACAGTATATGTAGTACTGAGGATCCCGAGATAAACTAAGAATCTTAGTTTAAACTTAGAAAAACTAAGAATCAGTCAACCATATAGCAAATGAAATAACCTGATTTAACTTAAGATTAATGGCATTGCCATTTAAATGTATCTCTCTATCTCTACTCAGGTATTTATAATTAGAGTAAACTAATATTCCTCAACTTTAACACTGCTCTCTCCCCCAGATGTCTCTATTCAACTGCCAAGGTATCTGTTTCCCACTCTGTTTCTGGTGGATCTTCTCACCCCCCATACCTCGGCCTATACCCCAGTTCTTGTATGCATAAATAAATCTTTAAAAAAAAAAAAAAACATTAATCAGATGATGCTGCTACTCTGCTTAAAGCACTTATGTCAGGACTCCCCTGTGGTGCAGCAGGTTGAGCGCCACGCTGTAAAGCTGTGGGCAGCCTCTAAAGCGCCGGTTTGATTCCCAACCGGCCAGGGAAAAACCCACATGGTGTGGCAGACCTCTCCTGCCTCACCCGCTGCTCCCCTCAGCAGTGTATTTTGGTCCATCTGCCCGTCTGCTCCCCACTCTGTCCCTGGTGAATCCTCTCACCCTCCTGCGCACCTCTGGCCTGTTCTTGTATAAATAAATCAATCTTTCAAAAAAAAAAAAAAGCACTTATGTCTTTCCAAAGTACTCAGTGTAAATCCAAAAGTCAAATATTAGACACAGTCAGGCTCTTAACCCACACTACAGTGTGGAAACCCTAATCCAATTTAATCGGATATTGAATTAAACACCAAGTTCTTTCCCACAATCTTCTAAAACATACAAACAGAAATGATCACAATGCATATGAAATTGAAAGCTTATTTTAGTTTCCTGCTTCTTTTCACCTCTATCAAAATTTAGTGACAAATTTCATCATCATTAAAAAAAAGACATTTTACTAATTTGTGTATGATTAATTACAAATATAGCTCCCCGTAGATAATAAAGTGGTACATTCCTTCTGGCAGGGTGTAAATTAAGACATTCCTTTTAATAAGCCCACCTCTAGGCCTGTTGGCCTAGGGGTTAAGTCTCAGGGCTTCCAAGGTAACAGCTGAGTTAGATCCCTGGCCAAGAAGCTAACCCACATGGCGCAGCAGATCTCTCCTGTCTCCCCCACTGCTCATCTCAGCAGTGTATTTCAGTCAATCCACCAGTTATATTCCCTATTCTGTCTCTGGTGAATCCTCTGGCCTGTACCCCAGTTCTTGTATGAATAACTAGATAAATCTTTAAAAAAAAAAAAAAAAAAACAGAATTTTTAAAAGAACTTGCTTTTTTGGTGCTATTCCCATATCAAGGTTTAGGTAAGCTCAGAATAATCAAGGAGCTAGACTGCAAATCAAGAAAACAAGGTTCTATTCCTCATTTTGTCATTTTCTTCCTGATGATCTGGGCTTCAATTTTTTTATTTTGTTTTTTGTAATTCTGGAAAATAACTTTGTACAAAAGGATCTAATTTAGAGATGAGATAATGTTCATAAAATGTTTTTAGTTCCCAGGGAATTGTCAACTCCCTTCTCTTTTTCACATATCCTTGTACATTTGTATTTCCAAAATGCTTTCAAATCCTCCATCTAATGTCCCTTTGTCTGACCATTCTGCTTTAATTCAGGTAGAATTTCATAACCATGCCAATACTCTCTACATTTTTAACATTCTTTCTACAAACATTCAGTGTTTTCTTCAACTGCTACATGAAACTTCTTCTACCAGTATCTACACTACCGTGGAAAGAGTGGTTAACATTCCTCATTTCTTTTTTTTTTTTTTTAAAGATTTATTTATTTGTTTATTTATACAAGCACTGGGTACAGTCAGAAGCGCAGGAGGGTGAGAGAATTCACCAAGCCAGAGCAGGGAGCAGAGCAGGCAGAAGGACCGAAGTACACTGCTGAGGGGAGCAGCGGGTGGCAGGAGAGGTCTGCCCGCTATGCGGGACCCTCCTCCGGTGGCCGGGGAGCAGCCGGGGATGGAACCGGTGCTGCAGAGGCTACAGGCAGCTTCACAACCCAGCGCTCAACCACTGCGCCACCGGGGAGGCCCAACATTCCTCATTTCTAAGCCAAAAGACCAACTAACAAAGTCCTCAAATTCAAAAGCACAAAAAAAACCAAAGCATGTACAAAAGTCCTTATTAATAAGTACAAATTCTTATAGTAACACATTTGTCCAAACACACATATTTCACATGGCATCTTAAAACATTCAGTGCAGGGCCTCCCTGGTGGTGCAAGGGGTTAATAAGCACCGCACTATGAAGCAATCCGCAGCCTCTGCAGCACGAGTTCTATCCCTGAGTTCTATCCCTGGCCGAACAGAGAGAAATCCACATGGAGCAGCAGACCTCTCCTGTCTCGCCCACTGCTCCCCTCAGCAGTGTATTTCAGTCAGTCTGCCTGTTCTGTTCCCCGCTCTTTCTCTGGTGAATCCTCTCACCCCCCTCCCTGCATCTCTGCCCTGTACCCCAGCTCTTGTATGCATAAATAAATCAATCTTAAAAAAAAAAAATTCTGGGCTCCCCTGGTGGTGCAAGGGGTTAAGCACTGCACTATGAAGCAATCCAAAGCCTCTGCAGCACGAGTTCGATCCCTGGCCAGCCAGGGAGCAACCCACATGACGCAGCAGACCTCTCCTGACTCGTCCACTGCTCCCCTCAGCAGTGTACTTTGGTCAATCTGCCTGTTCTGTTCCCCACTCTGTCTCTGGTGAATCCTCTCATCCCCCACACCTCTGGCCTGTACCCCAGTTCTTGTATGCATAAATAAATAAATCTTTAAAAAAAAATTCAGTGCAAATATTCAAAAACATTTTCAGTAACAGAAATCATGCTACCCTCCTACACCACCCTCCTCAGAATAAATCATGATTACCAGTATCTTGTGTATCTTTCCAGAAAGTCTATATAAGCATAAGAATGCTTGTGCCTGTTCTTGTTTTTACACAACAATGGAATACTATAATATAGTGTGTTTTTCATTTAATAGATCCATGTTGTGGTTTATCAAGATAGAAGTAGATCTACTTTATTCTTTTTACAGAATAACATTTCCTTGTGCAAATATTTCATAAATAGGTCCCCTACTTATAAACAAAAATTTAGGCAGTTTCCAGTCATTTGTTACTACAAACAATGCTGCATTTAATCCAAACCCACAGCCTATTACAAAGTACAATAAAAGATCAAATGCAGCCTTGGCAGTAGTGGAATAATCTTTATATCAGATACAGATCTCAAATTAACACTAGGTCAAAGATTCACCTACAATTCTAATAGTACATCTGCCTATAAATATTAAGCAGTAACAAAATAGTTATTTGACGGAATCAGTGACATAGCAGTTTTGAGTTCTAAGTGTTTTGAAATTAAATTCTTACAGTAAAGAAAACTGACTTGGGGAAAAAAGTTAGAATCAGATGGAGCCTACCTCTCCTTATCTCATACCATTTTCCCCCCTTTTATTATTTATTGATGATCAGCTTTAATATAATTTTTCCCCATCTTTATTTTTATAAAGTTTAAATCTTTTTTTAAATTTATTTTTAACCGAGGTAATATTGTGGTACCCCAGGTATTACCACCACAGTGCACCCACCACTGACTGACCCACAGTCCACAACCATAGACCATTGTGCTTCCTTCCCTTTGTTCTTTCATTCCCTCATCCCTTCCCACCTTGGTGTCTCAGTTCTGTCATCAGATATCAAG